TGGATGAATTTATATATGAAAGCTAGTATTTCGACAATTCACTGTTCCATCTTCGATGTCGTCACGTAAAATATATCAATTCCGCAATGAAGAGTCCTTTTACTCCTGGAGAAATAATCACTACTACGCTCCGACGAGCTGTTTAATTGTGTTGCACTGCAAGAGACTTCAGAAGTTCTTTGAAACTTCAATCGACCACCATTACAAAGTTTAATAGGCTATTTACAGTATCAATAGGCCTGGACCTGAAAGGATTGCTTGTGCGACTTCACGAGTAATATCTCGAAGAAACGTGCGAAGAAGCGCTGAAAGCCAGCTTACCTAATCCGTCGTTTGGTAGCTAAAACTGCAGTCAAGCACACTTTCTTGCAATGCAATGCTCACACAAATGTTAGCAAGAAGGTTAACGAGTCTGAAAACTTTAACTCCAACTTCTAACCGATGCGTGGAACCTGAATAGAAAGCAAAGATGCTAAAAGACATTGCCTAGATCCCGTAATGGGCTTCTTTATCGATCGTTTCCCTTGATGGGTAGATATTCTGCTGTCGAGCAAGTCTAGAATAAGAAGGCAACAGGAGCAATGCTAGTGAAAAGGCAACCAGCCATTCAGTGACGATTTCCGCAAGAAATCATAGGAGCAGGAATCGTGATACGGAAACACACCAGACCTCTGCTGCTTAAGATATGAAACTGGATAGTGAAAATTGTCTCAAACTCCTGTCTCGGTTGATGCTTCGAAGCAAGAGGTCCCCCAATACGGAACATAGGGCATCAAAGCAGATTGGGCGTCCACCACAATGCAGAGATTGTCCAAAAATCGATGCGAACAGAATATCGTTGAATTCATCATATTAGAGAAGTGGCAACATAGCTCTCCCAACTCAGGTCTCATGGAATATTCTGTATTGAGTTTGCTGAAGGTAAAGCATTGCTACAAGCATAATAGAAACTTAGCCTAACTGAGCAGTCGCTCTTGAAAGCCTGGACATACTGGACATGATCTACCTACACATCACTGTCGATGACCTCCTGGGAAGTGATTTATTCTCTTAACAAGACTCACCTCATATGAGCATTCTCATCATGTACTGCAAACTGCTGTGAAGTGGAATGTGTCACAACTCCAGAGTGATCGTGACACAATCACTTCGAAGTAACTCTGTAGTCGGTCCAATAATTGAAGGTGCGGAACGAAAGAAGTCAGAAGGAAGAATCGAGATTGGTGAAATGTGGGAGGTATCCGCAGTTCCGTCTACTCTAGCGCTCCACTGTAGATCGGCCAATTCCGTAAACCTAGCGGTTAGCTGATCTGGAACGAAGTTGTCCGGCCAGGCATGGGAAAAAAAAAAAAAAAAAAAAAAAAAAAAAAAGGAGCGAGGGTGGCAGTTACGGTGCATGCGTCCCGACGGCGGGAATACGGCGAAGGGCCGCGCCTCACGACATACACCCGGAAGTCTTCGTCCATTTATCAACCCAGAGAGCGGCCACTTCAATGAGCAACATTGTTTCTTATTTGATAACTTTAGACCAATTTGATAGCGTTGTTAATTTGGGAATTCGTAACCAAATTGCTTCCTAACAAGCTATTTAAATTGGTATCATACATTTTTGCCAGCCTGTAGGAGGCCTAACGAAATAGGTACACTATTAGCTGCGGCAGACGGCATAAGAAGCGTCAATGAAACTATATAAGGCCACCATATGTTGGGCAGCTGTCAAGCCGAAATCGCTGATTGTTTCGACACTCATTTCAGAGTTTGAAGTGGAGGACAAGAAGGAATGTCTGTGCTCACCGAAATAAGTGAAGGGGAAAGGACGTAAGTTGTTGGGGAATAACACTTGAAGTCAGTAGAAAATATGTTAGCGACAGGGTGTGGCCCGAAATGTCTTTGAAAATGGCCTTACAGAATAAACGCATTAGTGTAGAATGCGGCGTAGATTCTACAGAATCCCTGTGTAGATGCCGCGTAGATTCTACCGCTACTTCGAAGGCACATTCCGCCGCTTCACCAATTCCATGCTCCAGCTCACGACCAGATTACTGAAATAGTCACTCTCATGAATAAGGTTCACATCGTAGAGGTGTTGCCAATTTCGTACTCATAATGCAAGGAGCTTACGATCATCGGGCACCTATGCACGTTTACATTGCAAATGTGTCAAAACATTCTTGCTCCAGTCCTTTCTCGCCTCTGCTCTAGTGTCTTACAACACCTGTCTCGTAGATCCCCCGCTTTCGAAAAAAAGGCGGAGGCCCTAACTTCCTTGTCGTTTCCTCTTCAGTAGCATCCACTTCACATCTCTGCATTCATACTCGAGCGCATTAGTCAACGCTCGATGATCACAGGGTGTTTCTTTGAATATAAATTTAATATCTTTCTCCTGCTTCAGACAGACACAAGCTAACAAGCGTTTAAGTTGGAGCAATTACTTCAAGTTAGCATATATTCCTTAAGCACACATCAGGTCTTTTCCAGCGGTAAAGGAAGTCATTCCGGAAGTAATCTCAGCATTGCAAGTAATCTTGACTCAGAAGTAGCTAAAGCCTCTACTGTAACGGACAATGGAGAGGTGAGGAAGAAGATAATTTCTTGGAGAGTCTGAAGTGTGGGTGAATGTTTGTTTCAGGTGCACTATGGTGATCGTCTTCTAGATGATCTCATGAACACATTCTGCGATCGTCTCCAGGCTGCATGTCCCCGAAAAATCGACGGATGTCTTGCTATACAATTTGTGATGGTAACTGCACGTTTGTGCTGAATGGATATCTTTGAAGCTAATAGCAAGTGGGCGCCCGCGAAAGTGGTGTAATGGCAAATGGCACTACTCAAAGCAACACCTCCAGATAGATTTTTTTGGGGTTCTTGCGGTTGATAATAGAGTTGTGGATGCTGAGTTGGCTAAAAAACGAAAAAAAAGCGAAGAAAATAGTGATGAGGCCCAAAACGAAGATTCCGTTTGAAATACGGAAGGGGCGGGGCCAGACGAGTTGTACGGACTTGCCTGCTCTACAGCTCCACTACCCCGCGCACATTTGGAGCAGCTTATCCACACGACTTTGATCAAATGCGGCGAAGGTCACGTCATATGCACGGACACGACATCCACAACTATTCCCTATGTTATGAGGAGCTGCAACCTAAAATATACATAAACTAATACTGAAAATAGA